AAGTTTCAATTTTACTTCATGTTTAGGTGTATGAATGCTTTGCCTACATCTATGTAAGTATACCACATGCATTCAATACTGGAGTTAGGGACCACTGTCAGCCACCAGGTGGGCTGGGAACCAAACTTGTTTCCTCTACATGTGCAGCCACTGAGCCATCTTTCTAGCCAGTACTGACTACTACTAGCTAATGACTTAGTAGTCACAACTAGTTCTAAACCATTTCTGAGTACTTCTAATCCTCACTACTGGACTTTCCTGTGTTTATCCTATCCGCCTTGGGTGAGATTTTATTATGTGCATGTTTCTATCTTCACATAAAAAGTTCACTTCCTGAACGTCAAGCAGAGTCTCTTTACAGGACAGTCTAAAACATGAATCTCCACCCATGCTTTCCAAGGCTATTTTTCACATCTGAAGTGATGATATATAAGAGCATGTCTGAGGGCTGGAGAGATGATGGCTCAGAGGTTAGGAGCACCAGCTCTTCCAGAGGACCTGAGATCAGTTCCCAGCAACCACATGGTGGCTCACAGCCATCAATATTGAGATCTGGTGCCCTCTTCTGGCCTGCAGCAAAGATGCAGGCAGAACTGTATAAATAATAATAATAATAATAATAATAATAATAATAATAATAATAATAATAATAATGTCTGATACTCAGTCACGTGTCTCCTTTCACTGAACTATTTGAAATGATTACACCTAAAGTTCATGACATCCAGTTTCTCTTAATGGCAAGTCATTCTGCATACCAACAGCACATATGCCTGTTCACTCCACATCTCAGTCCATGACCCTTTCTAATGCTCTCTGGGCAAAGTTCCAGTTCTGCTCAGCAAATGGCAATCCTCCATCAGGCACTTGGAACCAGGTCTTCTATCTTCGAACATGTCCTCCAAAGGGAGTCTGAAATGGCTGAAGAAAAGCTACATACCTACTAGGTAGTGAGATTAGCTCAGACATTCAGCATGATCATAGAATATTTTGTATTAATTCCAAGTACAAGAAAAACTGTCCATAATATATAACATTTTAAAGGCACAAAAGTATCATTTCTTTTTGTGAAGTTCTTGAATATTTTGTATTCCAATGTACACATGCAAAAATATGTATTGCCTGAAACAAACATAAACTAAATTCACTCTAGTAGATTTTCTTAGTCTCTATTTTTTTCTAAAATAAATAAATTTTTCTTGTTTAATATTAACAAACATAATATGTTGTGTTTATAGTCTATATGTCATTTTGTTTTCTTAATGGATTCTTAAAACTCCATCACAACACAATGTAGGCATTACCAGTTCGTGCAGATAAAAGAAGGAATTGAGGATGGAAGAAGATAAGTCACTGACTCTTTGGAGAAACTGCAGCAAGGAAGCTGAAAATGCAACAGTAGGATCCTGCCCAATGACTTCCTACAGAGCTCCATCTACAACTGTAGCCCCTGCTGAAAGTGCACAACCCACTACAAACGAAGGAGAAAGGGTGCTAAGGACAAGTCCACAGACAAGGTCATTAAAATGTACTGACTCCTTTTCTAAAGGAACAAACTAAGGAAAGAAAATCTAGCAACAGATAAAAAGAACAGAATTTTTTTACTGTAGGAGTTAGGAGGTATATAATATTTAGAAAGAAAACTACATATGTATAAATGGAAATGCATTCTCTGTACTGGTTAGTTCTTGTCAACTTGATATAACATTAGCTGGGGTCATCAGGGAAGAGGGAACCTCAACTAAGAAAATGTCTCCACCAGAATGGCCAGCATGCAAGTCTGTGGGATATATTAATCAAGGATAATCCTTGATTGATGATTGATATGGAAGGGCCCAGCCCACTGTGAGTGATTCCTCCCCAAGCAGGTGGTCTAGGCTGTATAAAAGGATAAGCTGAGTAATCTACAGCAAGTAAGCCAATAAACAGTGCTTCAGTCCCTGCCTCAGGACTCTGGCCTCGAGTTCCTGTGCAGACTTCCATTTCTGATGAACTGACGCTCTGAAGAAATAAGCCCTTTCATCCCCAAGTTGCTTTTGACCATGGTATTCATCACAGCAGTAAAAAGCAAAAGAAGACAACCTGTATCACCATCAATGTGTATGTAAGCACATTCCCATTTTGTTGTTTAAGCATAGCTTCATGAAATAATCGGCCCATCATATTTTTATCTGCTGACAAGCATGGTAAATGAGCAAAATAGGGAAAAAAAAAAAAAACTTTCCAAGATATTATGACTTTATCAACATTTTATCTTGCAAATAAAGAAAAAATATATACAACCACTTGGGATTTGTTTAGTTCACATTCCAAAGCTAAAAGGGATATTTTAAACTCTTATACAAAAAAAAAAATTTCTAGGTTAAAACAACTGCGTCTTTATTGTTTCTAAATATCTTCAAACATACTTCATGGGGTTCTACCATCCTTCTGGTTATAATTATCACATCTACTCTTCTGCCCAACACATGTGAAATAGACCCTAACAATGTTATAGGGTAGGGGATGTAGCTCATTTTGACAAATACTTACTTGCCTAGAATGCATAAAGTTATGGCTTTAAAATAGAGCATCTCATAAAACAAGTACATTGGTATATGCCAGCTATCCCAGCATATGGGAGGGATGAGGTCAGATATTGAAAGGCATCTCATAGTGAGAACAGGACTGGCTTGGCACCTTTGAGACCATGCCTTAGAAAAACTATCATGAAAACTATCACACAGCTTTACTTAGTGCAGAATTATTGTATATGTTGAAAAGGTAATTATTGTCTTTTTCTGAATATCTGTGCTAGTCTATGAATATAAACTTTGTTTTATTTACTTAAAATCTCATGAAGTAACAAAAAGAAAAAAAAAAGCATTATACCTCACTCTTCTAAAAAAAATTGAGTACTCTCTCTACAGAGTGTTATGTGCGTTTATAGATACAAAATGTTGCTTGCAATTGTCAAAATATTCCTCCAAGAATATAAAATATTCTAATACAAATATGTACAATAGATACAGTGTCCTATACTACCCAAACAAAAGAGGAAGAAATATTCAAAAAGTAAT